CAGTGAGAAGAAAACGCCCTCCCGGCCTGGGGTCTCACTTAAGAGTGAGGGACTGTAGCGTCGTCAGTTTACTGTTTTTTGTTACCCGTCTTTCACTTACGGAAGGAAGACGGTATTCTATGAACCCGGAGAAGTCAGTGGACGCTACACATGACCTACTCATAAGTACTGGAGATTGAGCCGATCAAACTGCACCCGAAAATCCTTCCAGCGGACATTCTTGGTTCCTTACAACTCGGTGGCCGTTGCGAAGCATATCTTCTTAGGTCTTCAATACTTACTCTGTCCTCGACACTGCTTAAATGCACCCAGAGACCTCAATTCGGATTGCACTAGCAATAGAAAGTTCTCCATTACGATGAGTCGTAGGCTTGTCCGTTCGTGATTCCACAGTCCGGCTCAATATAGCCGGTCCATTCAAACTATTAAACCCGACAGATGTAATTATTTACGGATTCAAATACACTTCGCTGTATATTTCTTTGCTGTCATAAATAGAAAAGAATGAAATTGATTGACAGAAGCGGATTGAAAAATTGTTGGTTTTCGAAAAAATGGGATCAGAAACCCGGAGATTATTTGCGTGATGACTCATACCCGGAAACGTCGTTACTTGGACCACTCTAACAGTAGTCATAAGGAATGCTGGTCATCTGAAAGGAAGTTGGATACTAAGCGTATGCACGATGAGAGGATTCAATGTCTCACTCTATACGATGTCCAGCGGAGGTAGAAGACTTTGTAATCCTCTGGAGAGTCGCTGTCAAATACTGCGTATGCAAGAGTGAGGTGGTCATGTTGTAAAACCCACGAACGGATTAAAAGAACCAATTTTCCCTTCCAGTGCTGCGGGCCACTGAATAACTTGAAGTAGTTCGAACACAATTCAGTAATAAAAGATTCGGCTTCGTAACTCGTATGCCATTATTTCATTCCAAACAGTTTTCATCAGGCAACTCGCCTCCGCTCTAATCTCAGGCCCTTACCATCTGAGCTTGACTATCGTTTTACCTTGTTGCGTCAGCCTTCCCTAATTTCTGCTTGCCATGTTAAGTCTTGGCCTAATCCGCAGGAAGCAGTTTTGATAGAAGAACCATAAGTTTAAAAGTAAGATTCCGATGATATTACTCGTTCTGATGTTGTAGCACATTATTATGGGGGATGGGGTCATTATTCTGAAATTCCGACCCAAAAAGGGTTCACCTTTTTGGACATAGGAGAACCAAGATTGTAACCCAACCCTTCTGACTGTGGTGAGTGGGAACCAACACCACCCTTCCCAAGCCTTACGTATAACGTCTGTCATGTTCTACCTCAGTTACCATCACAAAAGCCCCGCCTGCTTTCCCGCACATTTAATGTCTATCGCTCAGTGACTCAGCCGCCTGGGCTCAAAAAGATTAAACGTTGATTATAGTAAAATCTGTATTTAATCTTGGGCTTCTGTAAGTTCCGCTTTTTGCGATGCAGCTTTCTAAAATGAAGGAATTTTGTTTGCTTTTAGGACCAGGTCAAGGGAGCTGCGGATTCTGTAATCAATCCTTCCCCCGGTCCAAGTCCACCGCAGCCTGGTTCGCCTGTTCCGGCGCAAGCGATATCACCGTCCCCTGAATCGGCTTTACCTGAGCCAAACAATTATCCGTGCGCGTCTATCGTCCCTGCGCCAGCTGATGATCACCACCTTTTTCCAAGTATTTGTGATCGTATGCCTTCGCCATTGCCAACTGCTGATCAGCCATCTTTTTCGCCATCCCCACCCGGCCGGGTCCCATCCCCATCAGATGCTGGTTTTCAAGTTGCCCCGGCCATCATCCCACCGACGCCGCAGGAATTTAACCATATGCCCTCATCGGAGCCAGAGTTTTACGCCTCAGATCCACCTGCCTTTGAGTCACCGCCACCTGCCGATGAATGCATTCCTTCGCCGCCATCACCGTCACCCTTAGATATGTCCTGCTTTTTCGATGCCTCAATACCGGCACCACTGGCGAAGCGCCTGCGTATGACCGAGGAGGCTAATTCACAGTCTATCATCAGTTCCGAACATCAATCTGCTCCTTCCTCGCCCGTTAGACATCCAAATAAATCTTCACCATTAGAGGGCCATGTTGACTGCATTAATGTTGACTCGGATGAAGGCGATATGTCTTCATCTCAGCCGGTTCTGAGTTCGCACACACCGCTGAGAAGACCAGGTCATAACAGGCCATCAAATTCAATCATCAGCTTCTCACCCATCACACCAAAGCCGGCCTACGAGCAGATGCCGACGCCAAATCTACAGGTAGGTCCTTCACTCCGATCGTACTTTGCCGATCGACGAAATAATTCGACATTTCCCTTTATATATTTGACTCGACAAATCTCCCAGCCTGTCCATATCTCCGCACCTGTTGACTTGCGCTTTTCCTTGAAAGAGGAGTTCGTCTTCGGCATTATAATGACTGTTACGTCACTGTCAGCTTCCGTCCTCAATATCGGACAGTTATCCACGAACCTGACTTTCGAACTCCGATCAGCGCTGCTAGTTAGTGACATTTTCAGCACGGCCACAGATTTAGCGTTATTCCAGAACTTATTTGTAGAATTCGTAGTTGGTGCTATGAGTGCAAGAACAATTTTTATTTGCGGTTGTGATCAGCTGCAGTAAGAAAATATGGAGACGATCGAAGTGCACTCTGTAATCTAGAATTGCCACTTTAAGAAACCCGCCCCCAACAGTTTGAACAGAAGTCGGACAAAAAGCCTATTGAATTGGACACTAATAGCAGACCCAAACACAGTCAAATAGGATTTAGTCGAAGGTTTATAGATAACTATCTGAGTCCCACTATTGTATCGTCCATATTTTTGAATAGTGATGTGAAATTTCATCAGGACGACAGGACCCAAAGCAGTATGAAGAGACAACTACTGTCCAAAATTCAAAATTATAATAGGACCAAGTGTGCACTGTTTTGAGGATATTTTGGCACAGCAAAAATTCCAGCCGACATATGTGTTGGTTGGTTAGTAGCCCTTGTTGGATCAGGCGTTCCCGCCGGAGTCCAAACTGGGTGCAGTTGGGAGACGGAGAAAAGCCGCGACCTCTGTGTGTGAAGGAGCGGCGTCAGTCCCAGCTGAAATACAGGTTGCATCTTACCACTTGACCGAACTTATTAATAAAGAAACAAAACCGCATACAGCTGCAGCAGAAACGCAGATTTTGCCTGTTTCGCCGCTCGACTGTGATGATGATTTTGAGAGGTAGACTGCGAAAATTACTCGGTGTGATAATGAGGTTTTCACGTCTGTCCGGTATACTATCCCGGTTAAATATACCGAATGGTAGTACACAAGACGCCAATAGAAGTGTCCTAATGACCGTAAAAAAATTAACCACATTCAAAAAAACTGAAGTCTGAGTCGGAATAGCGTATTAGTTTATAGTGACAACAGAATTGCGCAGCGTCTCCCGCACTCTCTCGCCTCCATCCTAGTTCTGATGGCAAGACAAAGTCCAGCGGGCCGGAGGCGGACTACGGCACAGTGTCGGACGAAGCTAAACAGTCCATGTACGGGTGCCACACGCGACTCGGTTCACGCACAATACACAAGGTTTTCACAGAAAGTAGAGACGGCTCGAGCCTTGTTTGAGTGCAATTGCCCTAGAGGCCACATTCAGAAGGAGCCTTGGAACACACTGCGACATCATGAAGATATCTAAGGCCCTCCTTGAACTACGTTTGAGGTGGCTTGGGTACGCTCGTCGTTGTCCTTCCCAAGAATACGTTGCTGGAGGCGACGAAGGAATTCAACTCCAAACATGGTCCAAAAAAGTCTATTAAGGCGGGAAGGTATTTCTGCATCTGCGGTATTTCGATCTCACCACTGGAACGGGACCGAGTTACTCATTTTAACTGTCGTTGAAGCTGATATAACAAGTGAAAATGTGTGTAGGCCGATATAGGCGGTTAATCTTCCCTTTACACAATTATTCCTTGGTATGCGTTGCTTGCCAACTCTACATTATTATATTGCTGCTGTCTCAGCTCATTTGCTTACATAACTTCGGATTTGATTCAAGTGTGCTTTTTGATTTGACGGTTACGACATCCGGAAGAGATGGCATTTAGAGCACTTTAAACACTCGCCTTGGTGCTGATAGTTATTTTATCACCCAAACCGATGCTCTTTCGCTAGAAGCTTTCATACATGCCCCCACCTACGTCACCTCTACTTTCAGAAAGCCCTTTCGGAGTATGGATTACGCAACCTTCCGAAAAAGAAAGCAATTCGCATACTGAATCACATCTATGAAGAACTTCACCCATGTGAGTCTTGAAGTGTTGAGGACGGCGACTAAATAGAGTCACCTATATTGAATACTAGAATTTATAAGTCAGAGTTAACACTGCTTTGTATTTCCGTTTACATCTGTTTTGCATTCGAATTTTTTCCAGCACTTTAATGTCATATCCATACCTAGAATTCCTGATGTTCTATCTGCCAAACCCGTTTTATTAAGCGCTCGCGCGATAGCTACCAGCTTCCTGGCATAGAGAAACGCCCTCCGGATGCTGGCGGCGGCATGCATAACATTGAATGTTGACCCCCTCCCCCAGCTATGGCGAATTTTTTCGAGACAAGCCCACCATTAGCCTTGTTTCAGGTTACAATTCAGAAATTTTGTGCACCGGTAGTATCAATTCCCACTAGCCGTAGTCTTTGCAGAAGCAATGCAGAAGGTTACGCCTACTACAGTCAGAGGCAGTAAATTGAGTCAAACGCGATTGCAGTGAAGGTACACTGCAACAGCATCAGGTGCCATCAACGAAGGCGAAGGGAACAGAAAAATGCTTTTAGGATTTACCTGCGCTTATCATTTTAGTACAGTTCACTCCCAGAAAACCTGGGCTCTTCAGCAATTGACCCAAGTCCTATAAAGTTAAGTTCACGGGTCCACGCCCTGTCGGTTGAGATTGGTCAGGTGCGAGTGGCATTATAGGTGTCTTGGCTGCAAGAAAACCTGCTAGCCAGATTAGGGCACGGCACGAATTAACTAGGTGGATATGAGTCTACACAAGCTCATAACTAGTGCCGTACTTGCGTATGGTGACGCGCTTCCATCTAAAACCGTCGCTCTGCCTAGATGACTGACTGACTCTGAAAGGGGGTTGGCACACTGAGAGACCGAGGGTCGACTCCACCTGGCCTTTAGAAGTGACTAGCTGATGACGGCTAATGAACTAGAAATAGCTATCGCAGTCTGCTATCGCAGTCTTTGCCGGCAATGTTCCTCTGCCTACATTACTAGTCGCTGTGCAGCTGCTGCTGGTGGAGAGTGAGCCCCAAGGCAGAGAGCGGGACGAGTGAGTTCCGTTAGCGATCGGTGAGCGTTAATCAACGAATACCGAAACATCCATCTTCAAGACACTCTGCCTAGATGACTAGAACCTGTCGACCTTGATCTATCACGACACACTAAAACTTGTGACTTGGGAAGCTGCTAACTCGGTCCTTTTAGGACCGAATCAGATTGAAGGACTCCTTCTGAATGTGGCCTCCAACTCATATGGGATCGAGGCCATTCCCACTTTCTGTGAAAACATGGTACACTGTGCGGAAAGCAGATCTCATGTGATATGGGTAGCCGGACTATTTAGCTTTGCCAGTCATTGCGCCTGAGTCCGCTCCCGGTCGTCATCACTGTCTTGTTACTGGACCTAAGGAAAGAAGGACTGCGGGAGATTCGACGCAAACATATTATCACTCATTGATGAATGTTCACCTGACTGCTAACGGAACTCCCCTGTCCCGCTCTGTCTTGGGTCTCGACAGAGGCCCTGACAGCCGTAACAGCTGGAGATAAGCAGGTTGTATTACCGGCAAAGACAAGGGAGACTGGAATGGCCATTTCTGGCTCATTAGCTGTCGTCAGCCAGTAATACCCAGAGTCAAGTGGTGTCCCACTCGAGCCTCAAACTCGTGTCTATGGCCATTCCAGTCCCCCTGGTCTTTGCCGGCAATAATATCTGCGTATTATCACTGTAAACGAATTCCTATGCAAATCACTGTCGTGTACCCGCCATGCTCTGGGTCACACGAGGGAAATCGTCAGACTCAACGATCGAACTGTCATGTGGAATGGGTGTCAGAATTAATAGTTCCCCTAAACATGGCGTTTGTTGCACCCATACTTGCACGATATCCGGAGTACCCTTTGTAAAAACGTTGTACATTCTGCGGAAACAACCTCGTGTGTGGTACTGGTAGACTGACTGTCGGTTTGTTAGCCACTATGTCCGAGTCTACCCCTAGTCGGTTTGATATTATCTCCTCATCACTGGTGGATGGACGAGGAGAGTGCATATGCTACTGACATTTATCGCGAAAATCTTCTGTAGAGCAATTTTCGCGTCGCTAGTTACAGCTTATTAAATTTTCCAAAGTTTGTTCCCAAAACACTTTTTGGTGTGAGATGTAGTTAAGCCAAATTCATTGAGCCTCCACCCTGTTTGAATGCTTCTTTGTGCTATTTCCTTCAGATATCGAGGTCCCATCCGTCGTAATGGAAGAGGTTTTGCAGGCCTCACCAACACGTGCAAATTCCATTACGCCGCCGCTGGCTGGAAGTCCCGACGTAGATAAAGAAAACGCTTCATCCTCGATCTCTCAGGTGGGCATCGGCGGTCTATCCTACCCTGGTTTGTCTCCAGATTCTAAAACCACCGAGAGTGAATCAGCCAACAATTTCGCCTCTTCTACTCCCTTAAAGGCGCTGCTCGGGAAAGCACACAAATGTGTGGAGAAGGTAAGCTTTGCATATCACGGCGTTCGCCACCGCTCCCCTTTTTACGTCCCTTTCACGAATGCCCTCTTCCGGTAGGGATTGCGTGCGCCCTTGAACAGTAGGTCTCGAAACTTGTGGTAGTTTAAAGCATCTGCAGAAACAGCTTCAGCCGGGAGGCTGAATTAATACAGGAATGCCAACCCAGACATCTAGTGCGCGGCTTGGACTAACAAAGGTCTAAGGACTCGATAATGTCGACGGGAGTGGCAGACAGGAAATGGGTGGAGGCTGCCGATGTCTATCATTTACGACGCGGCCCCCTCCCTATACCCGTTGGGTCATATAAATACACGGTTCTCCGTGAAAAATTTCTGCGTCAGGCTTAAGCAGTAGCTCTTTCCCAAGCGATCAATAGGTTGCGTGCACATAAGGGCTTACTGTGTACAGTCGCTGCTTATGAGATAGTTGCTGCAAGGTGCAGCAGCGCTAGCTGCGAGTTCAAGAAACATCCCGGTCTCACTAGTTACCAAAGCAGATTAGTGTTCAGTGCTTCTCCTCACGGATCTGATATTCGAGAATTTTTATTTCTGTTGGAACCTGGCTATGGGATGGTATTATTGTCTGTTCTCAGTTCACATAATTTGGAGTGTGGTTGGGTATCACCGCGATGGTCCATCCTTTTTAGCTGCGAATCTGGCCTGTTTGAGGAATCTATGTGCGGATATTGTTTGCTTCTTCTAACTTTCCCCATATGTTTTTCTCCCATTTAGACCCAGAACGCTGAAATTCAACAAAAAGTATATGAGTACTTACGGATGAACAATGATATCTACTTCAACATTGTCACGTACAAGGTAAGCGTGGAGTACCTGTCGTTCCAGCCTTCCTCACTTAGCCGCTTGAACTAGACTGTCTGCATGCACTCCTCCGCGACGCTGGCATCAAACTAGGACTCAATCGACTCATGAGTATGCTAGACGAATGGGTAAGCACACGCAAAATTATTAGACGTTTTTATAACTTGATTACAAACAATATCCCAGCATCGACTAGGAGATCCACAACTCAGCCCTGGCGCCTTAATGATATTAATTGTACTCTTATTGATATCTTCTGTCACTGCTACTTTAAAATTAGATTTCCACTAAAATTGATTTTCCTCAAAATCCATCGAGCTGCTCATATCATCAAAAGCCACACATACAGTTATTAAGGGTTCCTGATCGACAGTTACACCAGATTTGAACGGGGGCTAAGCAGATGCACCGTACGCGTCAACAGACGCTTTAAGCCGAGTCAGCCATTGCGTTTGACCTCATCATTTATAGTCCGCCTGCCTGGAACCTATATCTGGTGGATGGGAGAGGTAGATCGATCTTTCGCGGATAATGAATCGAGAGGTTTGGATCTTCGCCAGCTGACAGGGTAATTCATCCTCCGATTTGAGGGTAATAAGGCCTTTAATACAACCGCTTAAGTAAGATCCGAGACGCTCAAATATTGTTGGCATAAGTTTAGGGAACAGCGCACATGTGGCACGCGTGAAAAAAGATTTAGTTATTGTGTTCCACGTCAGGTCAGGTAGGTGCAGTCAAAGTCTTCTTTTCGGCCAAGTCATTGCTGCATCCTCAAGATAGTGTCGGTCAGCATTGAAAACGACGATAGCGTTGGTTTTAACCCTTTGCACCACTCCAGAACAGTCACCTAACCGTACTGCCATTGACGAAATAAAGCTGTGCCAGAAATTCACTCCTGGGTTTTAAACGTATAAAACCAGCAGTAAGCAGGATGTTTACGTAGCGGCATTTCTAAGAATTTGTAGCATGGCCTACAGGTCTTCTCATGGAAAACGGACTAGCTGAACGCTTATTACGACTGGCAGAAGGATTCCGGGTTCTTGTCTGCAACAATAATATTCTGCATGATATTCCCAACAAAGGGCTATCACTTAGGTAAAAGCAAACCCTGATCAGTTGGCTAACGTCGATTCGGTTTAGAAAAAAATGGTCATTGGGACAAGAATTTAACTTGTCTGAATGTCCGGACTTACTCTCTAACCCACTTCTTGTGTGATAAATCACTGTGTCCGGTTTGCGCTATTGACTGCAGGTTGGAGAACCCCGACTAAACCCTGCTAGTGGTGAAGTGCGAATCGTAATTCGACTGACAAATGATTTCAAGGTTAGCACATGATTGGTCATAAGTAAGCCATGAGATTCTGAGATGTGTGTGTAAAAATGCACAGTCTGCGTTTGATTGGGACTCGGACAAGCAGACGAATTCGGCCTTTTGAAGGGTAGGATTCGACACGCGTTCGATCGATGTCATCGTAAGCAGCTCGTGACTCACATGATTGTCAACCCGCGAGAATTTCCACTCGTCATACCGGAAGGTGTTGCGGGTTTCCATCGCGTTAGCGCGACCCTGAAGTTGACATAATATATACCAACGGTTGATGCTTGCTTGGCCAGGTGCGTCCGGATTCGCAAAGGCAAGCACTGCAAGCGCCCAGTAATTATTATGTCAATCATTAACCCTGTGGTGCCAAGTCGGCCATTAATGGTTCAGATGCAGACGGCCAAGTAACTTTCGTAGCAAATACCAACACCGGCGATAAATGCATGATCACATAGCAACTGCCTCAATACCTTCACTTCTGCGCGTACACATCCTCTGTCCCGTAAGGTCTCTGGTATTGGGTTTGACAGTGAATCTGGGGCGTCAGGCGTTTAGAAATGGTTTCAGAGACTGAGCCTGTCTACCAGACGCTTCCCGGACTCCAGTTTTCACGTGTATCGACAGTTTAGTCTTTTGCTCACTTGTATTCTTACTGCACTTGGTGTGCTGACTCCCCTTCTCTTTTTTTATATACCACCGACATTTTCTCCCAGGGCGTCACTTTTACAACGAAGAACAGAAAACCCAGCAAACCAAAGTCTTCGAGGCCTACATCCCGATATTAGCCCCCGAGGTTGACGTTATCATTGTAAATATCTTTTTTTGGCTTTTCAGATTTGTTATTTTGTACCTCCCCCCTGTATACTGCATGGTAATAATGTATCCTTTTTTACTGAATATATTCTGTGTTGATTGGTCTTGGCCTCCTGATAGAGAAACCTGGAATTTGCAGGCTTTACACTTTGGTCTTCGCAGAGAAACAAACTTCTAGCTCATTGAGGCACTGCTGGATTTGCGGCAGTGAAGTCGACATTTTGTGGCTCCGGCCATGAGATGCCGAGTTTACTCTATGTGCCTTCAATATGTGCTCCGCAATCTTAGTTGGCATGCAACAGAGTCTCAAGCTAAATATCATACAGAAGCATGTACTATTTAACTACTTGTTTAGACCGCACTTAAAAATGTTACTACTTAAGTGGTAGAGGTGGCGACTATTGATTTTGCTGCTTCCATTAATGCATTCAGATTTCCTACAAAAAACACACGAATTCTCTATTTTATATGCATACGCAGAAGATTGTGCATTTCTTAAGATTAGGACTTTATGAAAGGTGTAATTTTATTATTAAACGCACTACTTATGGGAAACTACATGAAACTGTCGCAGTCAGATATAGTTGATCTCTTTAAAAGAAAATTACTAGAAGATGAAGTGCCTTGCGTATGTATAAGCGTCAGAAATCAATAGAAAAATGCACATCGCTTGAGTAGCCAGTTTCTTCGCTGACAATAATGTACACTGTTGGCTGTGTGTGATTTAGCTTTGGACTGTGTTCCACGTGAAATTAGTGTTACAATCACACCTTATCCATTTATTTACTAGTCAGAGCGACTGGCTGATGACGGCTAATT